GCATCAGCCACGAGGCTTTATTCTCAGAGGACCATCCTACAGAGCGGGCAGGATGGGCACAAAGGAGCAAGGAGAATGGTGCATGGCTTGGAGCAGAAGAGCATTCCTCTACACAGCTCTACAAAAACCAGGAAGAGATGTCTCTGCCCAGCAGCATCACCACAGCACAGCACAGTCCCACCTCGCTCCTCCAGTAGCAGGACCCAAGGGACAGAAGTCAAGCAGTGCCACCACAAGGACCAGCACATGAAGGGAGCAGAAACCACACCTCACAGAACTCCATCTTCTAGCAGTGAGCTCTCCTGCTCAGCACAGCACTGCTCAATTCAAATCATCAACTGCACGTCCCAGGAGCATGGAGCAGGGATGGCACTCATCAGGATACCATGCACCTAATATAAGCCAGGGCATGAGTTCAGCAGGTGGAGAGGATTTCTGGTAGCCCCATCCTGGCTCCAGATCTCAAATATCCTCCTCCTCCCCCTTTGAAAGCTCTCTCAAATTCTTGTGTGGTTCTTGTACCCAGGAGAGGATTTAAGCCCTATTTTTAAGCATGCAAAGCTGACAGCCTAGGGCACAAGAACACGCTTCCTAAGCGAGCGCTTGTACCTCATGCTGCTTCCCAGCACAAGAGCACAGAGCATGACAAAATGGCAGGAGCACTGCAGAAAGGCACTGCCTGGGACACTGTGAAACATCTCTTTTTAAGACTAGGAGGGGGAAAATGAGGACAACCTCTTCATGAGAAAGCAGAAGGTTATGAATAGTCTGGAGGACAAGGCCAGCCATTGGCAGCAGTGCCCCCCATCAGAGAAACAACTCACCTTATTACCAAGCAGGACCTGCAGACATGCTAAAAGTTCAGCTGCTTTTGGGGCCAGGAACCTGGCCCCCATCTACACATAAGCCAGCATCCTGCTCCCCCACTGCAGCCTGAATCATCCTGCAGCAGGGCTGCAGTCCCAACCATCTCCTCCTCACATTGTCTTTGTCTTGTTTGCTTTGTCAAAGCTTGCTAGCTTGCTTCCCAGCAACCTCACTTGAGACTCACAGAGACATTACATTAGGAGGTACAACTTGCAGCCATGCCTCATGGACCTCCAATTCAGTACGAGGCTTCAAAGCATGCAACATATTAATTATTCAGACTGTGAAGGGTGTCATGCTGCAAGCTGCTGGAGGGCAGAAGAATATTCTGGAAGAACATCCCTGCTGTCTTCCTCACTTCCTCCTCTTGTCCCCGAGCACCCTTACACAGACAGGAGGCAGTATGGTGGCTCACCCGGGTGGCCTCTGGCTTAGGATGCCCCCCTGTATGCTCTGTAGGGCTCTGTATAGTGCAAGGAAACCCCCAGAGGATCCTCAAGGATGGGCGTAAAGACTAAAATCATGCTCTGCAGGAGGCATCTGAACATGAAGCATGCTCATCCCCAGCAAAAAAAGGCAGAGACCTCCTTCTGCAGCAGCTTTTGGCACCAGCTGCTGCTTGACTTGCACTCCAGACATCACTGTGCCAGCCAGCACTCAAGCCCATAAGGAAGCACTGAAGATGACGAAGGGAACTCAGTGCCAGGAGAGAGAAGCAGAAGGCATGAAATTGGGCAGCGACAGCTAATGGGAAGGCTTTGTGCATTCTGATTTGGAAGCTTGGCTGACACCAGACCTGCCTTTTCTGCAATTAAACCTGTAACATGAGACCTGGTAAACAGTCAGGCTGTCAGCTCTGCCCTTTGGCCAGAGAATGAGCTTTCTCCAACACCATCTCTGCCTGGCTGAAAATAATTCAGACTTGTTATTATGGGCCCTCCCTGCTCTAAAAAGCAGTGGCCAGAGCCTTGTCGGACTCCAGCTCCCAGAGTGGTGTCAGCCACCGGAGAAGCTTGCCCACAGCATCACAGCTCCCGCTTGGTCCCTCTGGGAGGCGCGGTGGGGAGCAGCCTGAGCACTGCTCCTGCCAAGCACAGACAATGGATGTCAGCTCACACCGTGGCACCAGCAAGGAAGAGAAGCTGCAGCAGCTGCTCCAAGCCCAGCACCAGTGTAGGCCCAAGCAGAGCACAGAAACAGCATGTTGCCCTGTAAGTTCAGAGTGCCAAATGAAAACAGGCTCTCACCAGGAGCTGGTGCCCAGCAGAGAGGTGCCATCAGCACCATGTGCAGGATGCCAGGATCCCATGAACCGAGTGTGCCGCCTGCTGCTCCCCTGCAGAGACACTGCATCTCCAGAGGCTGATTTGCTGCCAGCAGAGGTAACCAAGCAATGAAAACAGCCCATGCACATGCTCGGTGTCCAGCACCCAGGGCAGCATCATCATTTCTTAGCCTCCTCCAGCCGCGGTGCTTCCCTCTGCAGCCTCTTGCCCTGCTTTCCAGCCATACACTCGCTCCAGGCCTGCAGCAGCACAGCCATTACTCTGTCGCTGCCGAGCACAGGGAACATCAGCCCGCCTCCCCCCGCACAGCCGCCATCCTCCCCCCAAAATGGCAGGGGAGCCTGAGCAGAAAGCAGCCGCCTGCTGAAGCATGGAGGATAACAGATAGGAAATAAAGCCGTGTGTGTTCCTCCCTCCCAATATAAACGTGCTGCTGCTTTGGTCGCTCTTTACCCCCAGCCTGGCAGAAGAGGCGATGCTGCAGCCTCAAAGCAGTCTGGGCTGTCCTCCTGCTGTTTAGTGGCAGTTATCTCCTTGCAGAGAGCTGTGTGGTCCCCAGCCCAGATACAAACATGGCAGCCCTGAGCTCACCCTGCTCTGTGCAAAACCCCAGGGCAGCTGCCACCGCCAGCAGTAGTGGGGCCTTGAGGTTGCACGAGCAATGGCTGATCAGCGCTTGGAAAGAGACTCAGAATGCAGAGTCAAGGTTGAGCTGCGAGGATGGACCCTGTTCTTCACTTCTTAGCTCTTCTCACTGCCCCAGGAACCAGCTCATAAGCACTTAGAGAGGCTCCCAGTCCCTGTGCCACCCCTGCACTGCAGGTCACTGATGACCAGAAGCTCTGTGATAGTGAAGCACAACACAGCAGAGTGGTGGAAAGCACAGTGTGCCTCTGTTTGCCCAACATCATGGCACAGGAAGGAGCAAAGTGTTTAATCACGGTTGGTTCTGAGGGGAACCTACTGTCTGCAGCAAAGATCTGCTTTCACAGCCAACAATATGACTCCTTTCTTCCTTCAATTTTACAGGAACGTTCCCCCTTCAGCCCCTAACATCCTCACAGGCACTGCTGCCCCCATCAGCCTCAGCATCTCCCAGGGGCAGCCACCAGAGCCATCCCTGGGCACAGGGGCCATGTCACCTTCTGCCTATGGCAGGATGCCACGCACCATGGAGACCTGGAGATGCTCTGACTTCTGCCATGGGAGCTCACCCACCCCTCACCCTGCTCCCACCCCAGTGCTCACAGCGCCTGACTCAGTGCCGAGCCAAACCCTGACTTTAATCACTATTCAGTGTTATTAATAGAGCTGTGCACAAAATCTGAGAGGCAGAGAAGCCCAGGCCGGCAGAACATCATTTATTTGTCAGTACCAACTCTGACAACGCGGCTCTGCCCACCACCCTCCCACCAGCCCAGCCCCCAGCAAGAGCCCAATTCTGCCCTATTTGTACAAGAACTCCCCACCTGAAATGACACAGGAAGGGCTCCTTGACGCTCGGCCTCTGGGTTCCTACTGCTCCCACCCTGCATTTTTCTCTCTCTATCCCCACGACCAACAGCTGCATCTCCTGCAGATGTCAAGGCGATGGCAAAGCTGAGGCTGTGAGGGCTCAGGGAGGGGGATGGGAGCAGAGCATCCTAGAGGGCATATCTGCCCGCTCCCATGCCTCGCTGCCCCCCGGCACTGCCCACCCTCCCGTGCCAGTGCAGACAAAGGCGCAGTCAGTGCCTGCTGAAGCAGAGGGAGGTTGGAGGCAAAACGATCCTGCAGCCCTGCCTGCACACGGATTAAGCCACAGAATGTAGCACTATTGTGGCGTTTTGCACACAGGGGCTCATGCTTGGGGCTGAGCTCTGTGTTGCTAGCAGGGGGATGCGGGCTGTGACACCTGCAGCCACAAAGGCAGAAGGCACCCGGCACCGGTGTGACACATCCCCAGGCCAGCAGCGATGGGGCCAGCCCCTGTGATGCTCCCACCGCCGTGCCGCGGGCAGCGTTTTGGCAGGAAGCTCCGTTCCCATGAAGGCAAAACGAGGGTTCCGGGATTGCCTCGCGCTGGCCGGGGACCCGCAGAGGGTCGAGACGCTGGGCGCCCATAAAGCTGGGGAGCTGCGGGGGGCTGCGCTCCTCACTGCGCGCCCTTCACCACTACGCCCTCAGCCTCCATCACTCCCAGCATCGCCCATGGGAAGCCTTTCCTCCCCGGGCGCCCTGCTCGGTCCCCAGACAGATTCGGGTTCCCAGCAGCCTCCCGCATCCCCAGTCTCAGCGGCCCCGGTCTCTCTGGGAGCAGCGCAGCCGCAGCGGGGCCGCACGGAGCGGGGTTCGGATGGCACCACCGCGCCTCGCACCCTCCGAGAGCTCTCCCCCACCAACCCGCGCTCCAGCCCCGAAGGATGCTCGGCACAGCCCTGCCTCCCGCTCCCATTTCTGCCTCATCATCTCCCTCCCTCGGGCAGCGGGCACGGCGCGCACCGCCCCGCCGCGGCCACACCGCGGCGGGAGACCGACATCGGTGACAGCGTCACTGCGCCGCGCCCGATCCGCAGCCCCCAGCCCCGCGCTCACCTTTTCCACGTTCTCCACGGTGAAGTCGAGGCCCTGCGGCGGCGGCGGCGGCGCCTCCGCCCTCCGCTCCATGGCTGCGGCAGCGGGCGCAGGGCAGCAGCGCTCCCCGCCTCCCTCCGTCCGTCCGTCCGCCCGTCCCGCCGCTCCGCCCCGCCCCGCAGCCCGCCCCGCCGCACCGCACGCCGGGAGCGGTAGTCCCGGCCCCGCGCTCCGCCCCGCCGCGGGATACGCGCAGCCCGGCAATGCGGGGTCGGCCGTGCGGCCCATCGCTTTATTGCTACAGGAAAAGGCGGCTGTACAAAAATAGAGTTTATCCTCCTGTTTTTTTGTTTTTGTTTTTTTAAAAACAAATAATAGAAAAAACAAACCAAAACAAAATACGCTGCGGGCACGAGGAGCCCAAGGCCGGGGCTTCGCATCAGCGCTGGGGTTGCATTACACCCGGCCCCGCGGGCCCAAAGTCATAAATAGGAGCTGCCGCTCGAGAACAATAAATAAATAACTTAGAGCAATAAATAGTTGAGTGCCGCAGCGCCGCAGGGACCCTTGGAGCCGGGCAGGGACCCGGGGCTTGGGTTGGGTGTTGCCCCATGCTGCTGCATGTTGGCCCATGTTCTCAGGGAGAGCTCCCCTGGGTGCCCCCTCCTGTCCTACTCCTGTCCCCTCCAATGCTCGCGGGGATGTGGGAGCAGCAGTCCGGCACAGGGATGCTCCATCCCCTCCACCTCTCCCAGGTTGGGGTGCACCCCCTGGCTCTCTGCTTGGCACTGAGCGGAGGAGCTCGGTTGCAGAACCGCCCCTCCTTAACAGCCACATCACCTCGGTCCCTCGTGGCCATATCACATCGGGACCACCGTTCTGCCTCCCTCCAGGCTGGGGATCGGCAGCGTGCGTCGAGCCGAGGCCGAGCCAGCAGCTCCCCATCAACCGATGCAGCTGCACTCGGCCGCCGAGAGCTTCTCCACCGTCTGCCACGTGTTCTGCACATCCATGAAGGACACGGCCTCGTAGCGCGTGGGCCGGCAGCAGGGGTGGCTGAGCACGCGCTCCTGCGGCCCCGGCACAATGAGCTGCTGCCGCAGCAGGCTGCCCAGCGTCAGGTCGTAGTTGCTGCGCGCCCGGTGGCACGACCCACTGCAGTACTTGAAGAGCACGATCTCGTCCGAGTTGAAGCCCAGCCCCAGGTCGCGCACCTTCACCATCAGGTTGCGGATGTGGCAGTTGCGCCCGCGGGCGCCACGCGAAGGTTTCCTCTGTCCCTTCTTGGCTTTGCCGGTGCCTGGTGGCGAGCGCTCAGCACGAAGCAACAGGTCCTCTGCCAGCTCCACGCCACCCGGGGCTCCTGTCGTCACGTTGTCACCTGCAGGCCAGCAGGACAGCACTGTCAGCTCCTGCACTCCCAGCACCACTGAGCCTCCCATCCCCTACAGTGACCGCCTGTGCTCAGGCCACCGTGCCCAGGATGGACATGCTACCGTGCCCAAGCCCCGCAGTGGCTGTCCCCAAAACGCACCGTGCGGCTGGCTCCAGGTGAGTGGTACCTCCACGCCGTCCTCCACGCTGGCAGTGGCCGTGCCCCGCGGTGTGGGGGCTGCATCCAACGTCTTGTTGCAGTGCGGGGTTCGCACGGTGCCTGCCGCCAGCCCGGCCAGCAGTGACAGGATGGCGAGGACCCCCCAGAGCATCCCCTCCTGCAATACAGCAGAGCGTGGTGGGGTGAGTGCCGGCCTCAAGGAGACGGGAGCGGGCAGTCCCGACCACCATGGGCAGCCAGGCATGGGCTCACCTTGGGCTGTGGATGTGTGCTGGGTCCTGCAGGTCTTGGCTTTGGTGGTCCTGCTTGCTGCTCCATGCTGGCTGCAAGCAAAGTGTGTCAGTGTCAGTGCAGTGGGAATGGAGTGGACGCTGGTACACCCACCCCTGCCCACCCAGATACTGGTGGCATCCCAGAGAGGCCATCGAGCCGGCCCAGCAGCTGGCACACCTTTGTTCTACCAAGCGTGCCATCCCTTCCCTCATCTCCCAGTGCCCATGGCTACACACCCACATCCCCTGTGCATCTCTCCTCAGGGATGCTGGCAGAAGGGCCTTTGCCCAGTACCTCTCCCTGGGAGGATGTAGACTGGCTCCTCACATGAGCAGCCCAGGATGCCAGGCTGTGCTGTAAGGCAGTGGCTGGGAGCGCCATAGAGGGGGGGGCCTTTTCCCAGGGCTGTTCCCTGGGAATGTTTTTCTTCCTGGCAGTGGGAGCTTGACCCTGGGAGCTCCAAATCCATTAGCACAGAGTCCCCTGGTACCAGAGCCACCCCCAAGCCCCACGCTGCCTTCTTGCCATGCTGTCTGGAAGCTGAGGCACAGAGCCCCAAGCAGTGCAGCTGAAGGGTGGGATGATTGGGTTCCTTGGGGACACAGCACTTCAGCACACTGCTCTCTCCAAGGCCATTTCAGCCCTGTGCTCCCACCCACTGCCTGCTGACCCCACTACACAAGGACAGGGCTGTCCCCTTGAAGCTCGTTGGCATCCTGCAACAAGGACTTCCCCTTGGCTTTCTCCCCGGTGTTCTGTGGTGGAGAAGCATTGGGATGGGACATGCTGCAGAGAGCATTGCTGGCCTAAGGATGGGTAGAAGCAGCCAGGGCGCTACCGGGGTGGGGAGACAAACTCCCCTAGCCCTTGAGGAGATGCTCATCAGGCTCCAGGCCCCGTTGCTGCATGGGTGGCACTGAGCCGTGCCATGCCGAGGGGCTGCCATGGGCACTGCCAGGCCTCCAACCCACTCTGGGGTCCGAGCACCGGGCAGGACTGGCAGCAGGCCCCCGCCGTAGCCGCAGCCTGGCCAAGCACGACCCACGCAGAACATTGCTCCCATGGCGGCCTGTGGCCCCTTGCCAGCCACTGCTGCCAGGTCATGGTTTTCCCAGGCCGGCGCCCCCAGAGGGGCCATGCGAGGGTCCCGTGGCCTCGTCGGGAGGAACCTGGGCCCCCGTCCCTGTCCTGCCGCCCCGCCGCGGCCCCTCGGCCCCAGCAGCACATCGGCACGGGACGGGGGCCCTCGCAGGCGGCGGGCCCGGAGCCAGGCGGTGACACAGCCTTGGGGCCCACGGTGCGGGGCTGCCGTCCCTTCGGCCCCGGCCCGGCCCGGGCACCGCCCGCCCCGTCGGGAGCGGAGCACCGCCGGAGATGTAAAGCGCTCTGCCGCCCCGGTCCGAGCGGGAGCATCTGCCCCGGGAGAGGGAACGGGCGTGCGGTGGAGCCGGGCTGCAGTTCAGGCTTCTGCCATCCGGCGGCAGCACGGCCCTGAAATCCGCCGAACGGAGCGGGAGAGATAAGGTCGCTCCTCTGGGCGGCCCGCGTTGGCTCCGCACTCTCGTGAGGAGCGCGGGCAGGGCTCAGCCGGGCTCCTGGGCAGCGAAAAGGATGGCAGCCCCGCAGCCCCGGCTGTCTGACGGCGGACTGGGTGGGAGCTGCCCCCGGCACGGCTGGAAGAGCCCCGGCCGCTAATGGGTTCCGCAGCTCTTCCCAGGTCGGGATCAGAGCTATCCAAGCGAGGATGCACAACTCGTTCGGTTCACGTTGTCCCCTCCAACACTCATCCCACCCCCGGGGCTGCGCACCTCTCGCCGCCCACGCCGGGGAGCCCCAGCGCCGGGAGCTCGCGTACCGGCATCCCGGGGGCTGCTCGGGGCCGTGCATAACGCCGGGTCTCCTAGTAGTACTAGTCCTAGTAGTAGACCTCCTCGGGCACCTGCGGGCACCACCTCACTGTCCAGAGCAGGACTTACAAGGGGTCGTCCACAGGTGACGCGCGGCTGGCACCTGTCCGCAGGTCCGGAGGAGACAGGGGCCGGACACGTGGGACCACGAGCCCCGTGGAAGCGGACCCTCCGACCCTCCGACCCGCGGGCAGCGCCGGGCCCCGCGTCCCGGTGCTCCCACCGGCACTACGGGACGCACGGTCACAGCGGGAGCTGCCCCACTCCGTGACCGCACGCCGGAACCGGCTGACCCCGGGTTGCCCGATGTGCCCAGCGGGCTGAGACCAGCCCCGTGTCCCGGCCACTCGCTGAGGGGTCCCGGCCTCTCCCCGGCCCGGGCGCGGAGCCCCGTTCCCCTCCGCGGCTCCCGAGCGCCTCTGGCCGCGGGGCCGGGGATCGGTCAGCCGCGGTAGCCGTCCGGCCGGGACCTGCCCGGAGGTCCGGGCCCCTCTCGCCTCTCCGCGGGTTTTACCGGTCGGGGCGGGCGGC